CGCCCTGCACCGCTTCACACTTCGCCAGACTGAGATTGCCACTTTCGTCCTGAAATTCAAACGTATCAGGCCTCTTCAAGTTGCCGTCAAATGAGTCAAACAACTTAAAAAACAATTTAATTCATTTACAAAACATAAGTGTTGCTGAAGTGATTTACGCCAGGAAGAACATGTTGTGGGAATATAACACATAGCAGATGAATAAAGCCCAGAGTGTTTAGTATCCAAAGTTAAACCACTTAATAACTACTTTCTTTAAAAGGCGAAGGCACTCGAAAGTAGCTTATGCGGCAGAATGTGTCAAAAGCACACACCTCACTGGATGGGAGGCCATTCTTTCGAAGGTTGCTTATGAGCAAGCTTACGACTGTTTAAGGTCCCTGGCACTCATCAGCACCAAATTATCATCGAAACCAATGGACAAGTCGCACGAGAATTTGTGTTCTACTGGTAGTCGAAATAATGAACGATCATTAAATGGGCCCAGCAATGAAATAGAATTCATTTGGTCGCCCATACAAAGTTACGTGAAGGTGGTGAACAGAATGGGAATGCTGCACTGTATTGGTAATGAAAATAAACATCACAAAAAAAGGGTTGTTCAGAGGAACAAGGGAAAGTACAGTACTTTGAGATCGTCTTCCGTGAGCGCGAAATTGGACAATTCTATGTAATCTGCGAACGGCTTCAGTTCTTTTCTTCGCCACAGTCTTTCAGGATTTTCATTCCACGCCTTCTTCACTTTGTCGCTGAAGTATCTATGGAAGATTTCGTCTTTCTCAATTGCTCCGAAACGAAAGCTGCAACAACACCGAATTAGGATGCAATAAATACTTCCCCTACGCCAAAAAAAAAATGCCCCTTCAACATACCTCTTACGTACTTTCCCTTCAAGATATTTGGAGTTTCCAGCCGGCATAACAGCCAAGAACAAAATTCTCTAAACTCCCAACAGTAAGGAGTGGAGAAATTCAGATGCAGCCTCAGTGGAACTGAGTAATTTTCCAGTTGTTCGAGTACTGGTTCGAATTCATTACATGTGCAAGTAGCGCCAAAACAAGTCAAGAAACCGTAACGAGAATGGCCCTCTAAAATAACCACCAACTTGAGCCAGCGAGATCTGTCCCTGTCCCACCAAACCTGCTATCCGGGCAGCTAACAAGCTGATTTTAAATTGCGCTGACTAACTTTTCAAGGCTTTCGTTGCCATCGAGAATTCGCTTGATAATGGGATCGTAGCTTGCAACATCGCCACTGAACAGCGACGGGTAGTGCAAGTTGGCGCGATCGCCCTTCATCTCC